CATTGAAATAAAAACTTTCATATTGTTTCTTTTTTTATTATTCTTATAGTTCTTAATCAGACGTAAAAAACCATTCTGTAGAGAACCATCATCAAATGAAAAAAAAATATTTACAAGCAAATTTTTTATTGTAAAAATCATTGCACTTACCTGATTTATGATTCCCGGAGAATTCCAAAATGATAAGTTCCTTGTTTGAAAACTTTATTCTCAAATAATAGATACATAGTTTATACCTTCATTACTTTTAGATAACATACTACACAGCAAAATTTTATAATTGATATGAATTTGAATATGTAGCTAAAAACAGAATAGCTGAATTCTAGTTGAACTTATTCTTTCAAAATTAAAAAAAACTTACCAAGAAAACGATTTAAATTAATTAAGAATCAGCACAAATGGCACTATTTCAAGTAACTTGGATAATTTTTTATTGTTGTTTTCCGAATTATATGGATACAGAAATATATACTATTCTATAACGAAGAAGAATATGCTATAACTATTACAATTCTGTATGTTCTGAATTCATATTTATTCACTGGAATGACGAAAGCAATGTTGACTTCACTTTAATTCGTAATGAATTGAAGACAGAAGAAATGCATTTTACCTTAATACACACATCTGTAACAGTATCCGAAATCGGAAGTCATCAGTTGCAAGTTTGTTGATAATAGAAATTAAAAATTATTGAGGAATTTTTCTTCAAATGTTTGGCGTGTTCTGTTCCTGAAAGATTTACTAATATTCTGGAGATTTTTTTCAAGTTCTTCGGCCTTTTCCTTAGGGAAATTTTGTTTCTTATTTGCTGCTAAAAAATGGCGTCTGATTCAGTCAATGACTTTGATGGAACTAAATGAAAACGTGATAAATTAATGTCTGATATTTACAGGCTCCCGCTAGACGGCGTACTCGAGCGTTGCGATCGCGAATACTTTTATGACTTTTATTATTTTTATGCTAGTGAGAACCAAAACAATATGGAAATGAATGAGGGAAAACTGGATCCTACCACGTGATTTCCCGGCCTATTAAAATGTAGCGTTAAACGTTTAAAGCAACCTTGTTGGAAGTTTCATAAGAAGTATAACTTCAAAAAAAAGGAAGAAAATTGTATGATTACTTATTGTATGATTACTTATTGTATGATTGTATGATTACTTATTGTATGATTGTATTTTTAATAAGCAAATATCGGGATTAAAAATTTAAGTAGTGATATCAAGGAATGCCAATTTCAGAAAAAAGTTTTATGCTAACAGAACTAAACTATTGAAATTGCTTTCGGTGAATCACCCGCTTAGTGTCTGCTGCCCTGAGTGATGTTTTAAATTTAAGTTAAATCTTTTACAAATTTCAATGTTTGAAGTTCACGCACATTTAAGGATCATAAATAATAAGCATTGCTCAAATTATAAGTTTAAACTATAATAAATTAGTCTGCTTTATAAGTTCAAATTAATTTACAAGTATTTTTTTGCGAATTTTGGAGTTATTGTCGATGTTAATAAAAAGGAATGAAACCTAAACTTTCGTAAATTTTAATTATAATTTTTTAATATTTGTATTATTGAACAAGAACTTACGAGTCTTAATTTGAAATTAAATTAAGAAGTTAAATTAAGTTAAATAAGATTGCTTTGAGAATATCTCATTTTGACAAACTAATTAAGTCCTTTTACAAATTACTAATCAACATTTGTTGTAATGAAAAAATATGAACACCAAAAATCATGGTAACTACATTACAAGTAAGTGGTGTATCACTAAACCAAGAACTAAGAATACTTCCTGATGTAGTAAAATCCTAAAATATAATTTTCCCCTACTTGGAGAAAGGAAACCGCCATCATATTTCTTATTTAGAATTACTAAAATTTTTATTTACTGTAAGAAGAAATTATACACATAAGAGTTAGTAAAGTTATCTTTACGATATAATATAAAGAAAGAATCATTAACTTAGGATCCATGTACATAGTATTTCCTAAAATAAAATTAGTTTGTTAAACACACACAGCACAGAGAAAATGTTAATATGAGCTCGAACTAGTTTTAGCAAAACCAAAACGAATAAAAGTTAAATATTTTACAAATATTTCACATCTGAAATATAATTTTCTTTAACAGGTAATTAAAAGCATACATTTTGAAATGGCAAACTTTTGTTTCCGTAGGTATTGCATGATGATCTAGAAGAAAACCGCTAAGTCAAGTCAACTCTTACTTGGTATAAACTAATTACTAACGTAATTCAAAGCGCGCCAACTTTGGGGGAAATAACTGATTCATTGTATGATTTTAAGCTTGAGTTTAGAGTAATCATTTTCCACTTTAAGTGTACAGATTAAACTACTTTCTTCAATTTATACATAAAAGTCCTATTTGGTGGTAATTTGAAATAAATTGCTCTTTTAATCAATTTTTTCAACATATGTTAAATATCAAATTCAAAAAGTTCTCACGCCACAGTTTTTACAGTGTGCTATAAATACATATTTCTTATAAAGTTCTACGTAAGTTTTTCTTTACAATAAGGATGTCATGAAAAGTTGAGGTTAATAAAGGATGTCTATCACTATGAGCATTCGATTACTTTTCGATGTGTGTTATTGAATCTTAATTATCCTTTATTGACATTAATTTGTTTGTGGCCATATTTTTATTCAATTAATATATATTATGAATTTTCTGACGTCGGAAACGGGAAAATGCTTTTTATTACAAAGCAACTAATATTAATCTTCTTAATACAGGATATATTTTTGAGTTTGACAGCTTTCTCCACTTTTTAATTTTTTTTTTCGATGGGGATGTACGTTTTTTTAAGAGCTAGATAGACATACATAGAAATAACTACCTAATGCCTACTACAAAAGTCACTATTATTAAACCAAATGGAATTCTTATCATTTCATATGCTTGTTGGCAAATTAGGAACTGAGGAATAACCTTCTGTTCAACTCATTTAACAATGCTAATCATAGTCATAAGTAATAACCACTCAAGTAATATCCATTACGCTCTTGCGACAATGTTTATCCGATGAAGTTGTTTTAATGTGCATTAAGGATATTTACAATTGTATTTAAACTTTATTCAATTCAGTATCTAGCAATCATTAAAAAATTGCTTATTTCTTGCATTTGTATACAGTTTTATATTGTGTAAATTTAATCTTAATTTGTGCAAATTTTTCTGAACGGCTTACCAGGTAGTAAATTGATAAATGTTTGAGTAACTAATTATGCTTATACAAAAAATATCCCTCATTAATTCTTCTGATTCCAAAAAATGCAACTGTTTTAATTTAAATGACGCAATAAGTTAATTTTAATATCCTTTTTTAAAAATTTATTACATTTGTATCTTCGATAAGCCCATTTTACTATCAATATTTGAATTTATTTAACATTGTCTGAATTTCGACCCCTCTCGTGATCAAACTATTAAGGTCATATTTCCTAGATCGCGGAAAAGTCAGGAATCTAGATCTGTCAAAAAATATATCTGCTTATTCTGAGATAGGGCATTTTTCTATCTGATTTCGTCTTTCGCACTAATTAATTAGCATATTTAAAGTTAAGCCATCCAACCATTAAGGTTGAGACTCAGAACGTTAAAATGCGACCACTAGATAAAAAGTTATTCTGGATGTTCCAGTTATTTTTCGCACTGTACATCAATATTTCTAGTGGGCATAATAATCTACTTTACTTACCAAAATCATTCAAGTGTTTGCAATCTTGTGAAATTCTTCAAGGAAGTTGTTTGCTGGCTAAAGAAAACTTTATTTCATTTTAGAAGCCTCCAACTTTCAAAAATCGGAGGTCAAAAAAAATTGCTTCTAAAAGATGCTGCGATAAAAACTCAATCAATTTTGTCTTTTTTTTTTCTTCCAGAGAAATGAAATTCATCTCCATATGAGAAAAGGTTACAGTACAACTTTCAATCACACGACGTACGGGGATTGTAAATTTTCGAGTTCTTCATGAAGAGGAGAATTTGATTCACTTTGGCTTAAACTTAAAACAGATAGCAAATTTAGGTAAATCAATCCGAGAAAGAAAAAGTTAACAGAATGTATGATATGTTGACTAATTCCATCTCTAAAATACAATGTAGGTTTCCGAATATAGAAAAGTGTGTACCCTGATGAACCTTTGGATTTCGACCCTTGAACCCTGATAAAACCTTGGATTTCGATCCTAGTACCCTGATAAACCCTTGGATTTCGATCCTTGCACCCTGATGAGCCCTTGGATTTCGATCCTTGTACCCTGATGAACCCTTGGATTTCGACCCTTGTACCCTGATGAACGAAAGGAATATAGGTATAGGAAATCACAATAGATCACATCTGAGTAAGAGCACAAAACACTCAAAATAACCCATTTTTGGAGAATATTTCACTTTGTAGTGTAGTTTGTTTATTCATCCTAGTTCAACCGAAACTGAAGCTAACTAACGCTACAGTTCAATACGATATTAATGTTTCGCGCTCTCTGCGATACGTTTATTTTACGTGATACTCATACTTCATAATAACGTGAAGTAGTTTAATGAAATTTGTAATGTAGTTAATTTGCTGTGATTTTCAATGAAATTAATTTTTTGAAAAAGCTTTTTTTTGTATTTTAAGGACTTACGATATTTTTTCAAGCAGCTGTGACTTGAAACTTTTAAATAGTAAATGAAGAAAATATTAAAATTTTTTGGACAATATCAAGCAATAGGATGTTACATTTGTAATTTAGCTATCACATTAAATTCCATTCTTCACTGCCTAATACACCAAAGTAATACAGCCATAATTAGATGAAGGTTGTCCAAATTGAAAATGGATAAGTGGGTTTGCATCATGAATACAATAAAAACTGAAATGTTACAGTTTAGAGTTATTAAAAAGGTAAGGTTACTTAAAAAAACTGACCTTAATTTTTAATGCTGAAGAGTGATTAACATTCCAATTAACGCATTAACATTTCTAATGCTATCATGAGTGTTCACTTTTATTTGATTAACTCTTATTCTAATAATCAACATTTAACGCTTACATGTTGTTGTTACAAAATGTGAATGCAGGGGGAGTCATTTCAAAAGGACTGCTTTCTTCAACATTCACTGTTACAGGATATTGGAAATAATAATGCAAAAAATCACACGTCTGATACGTAAATCCCAGGAAGCAAAAGATGAGGATTGCTGCTTTTGGAATTGCTTTCTTCCATGTGCGAGAAGTTGCAATTTGTGAAAACCCTGTCATGAGTGAATCTTCAAACACTTGTTTCAGATATCTTCTAAATTCACTGCTTTTTCTTTTCTTTTCCTGCAATAAAATGATTGTAAAAATATTTTAAAAATTATTAGAATTCCCCATTTACATCAGATAATAACTGCACGTAATTCTATGAAAGTTAAAAAGGAATGCGCTATTTATATGAATTTGTTTCTAGATGCTTCTAAAACCCTTTCAATCCAAAATCAAGTTCTTATAAGGCAGACTATTTTCAAAAAATTATGAAACATTGTCGAAACTAATGGAATATCGATTAGTTTCAAGAAGTTTTAAAATCGATTTAGTTAGGAATTCAGTAAAAAAAATTAATGAAACGACAAAGTCATAAAAGTAAATAAAAATAAATAAATAAACTCTTAATCTCTTTGGTCGAATATTCTAAGTCGAGGTATTGGCGTCACACTTGCCTTGCTGTTAACCTGACAGCCCTGGAAATTTTTGAAGTTACAATGCTGTTTTTTCTTTCAAATAATCGAAAACAGCTTTAAATGACTATAAGGTGGGTAAACTTCATTGAAAAGTACCATTGTTTTTAATGGATTGGTTTAATTGACACAGAATTGGAGTGCTGAGTCGGATTTTCTTCAGATTTCAGAGTCTTCATCCTTCTGCAACCATGTTCTCTCTCCCATATGAAAAACGCATGAGCATAGTGTGTTTACATTACTTTTCCCATGTGCCTATGGTACTTCCCTTGAAACATATCATAAGACTATGGTGTATCCCATACGAATATATATGGTTACCGTAGCCTTACGGTGTCTTGCCGTATGGGCATGCTGTACAAATTTTTATAGTAATCATGCACATTTGGCGTCTTGTCATATAAATGCTATATAAATTTCCATGATTACCATAGGCGTTTGGTATATTGCCGTATAAATATTTATGGTAGCCATAGATTGCTGTAGGTATGTCTATGACAAATTTTCCGAAGGGGTCAGGCTAACCGAAAGAGGCTTTCGTGATTTTTCTCTTCATGTTACACAAATACGGACTAGTTCAATCTAAACGTACTCCACTAAGGCAAATTTCTCCTAATATTTGATTCAGGAGTTACCTTGTTTCTGTATTGGGTTCAAAATTACAAGACTACGGAGTTGAATATTAGTAGTCGTCAACTCAAAATTGGCTCTTCAACGACGTTTATAAAATAATTAACGTAGAGAAACAAAGATGTATTTCGTCAATAAAGATCAGTCACCTATGTTACTTTCTTTATTTACTTCTCACATTTTTTGTTCTTCGTTTTTATGCATTTTGCTGGTCTATTTTAGAATAAAAGACTTAAAACTGTTGTGTCTAAAAATAAATTTGAATTTATAATTGCGAATATGGAGTAGTTATATGAATGTATTTCGAATATAATTTCTATTCTGCATATAAATCAAATCACGTAGTAAATAAAATGAATGAATTCAAGGGTATTTTTAGTTGTTTAAGTTGAATATTTTTCGAAAATCCATTTTAAAAAAGGATAAAAACAAGCTAGCACATATTAAAGCTAGACTAATGTAAGAGTCCGATGAGTGAGCTTGAATTTCAGCCAAGTGCATGAATAGTTTTAGTTATGAAAAAGAAAAAATCTTCTAATATGCTTTTCGAGTTTAAACATTGCTATATATATTGAGACAAGAATTTTCAATAACTATAAATAAAACATTTTATCATTTTTTAAGGAGTTATTACCAATAATTTAATTTAGTTTAATTTATGCTGTATCCTCATACTCTCAAGTTAGTATTTGTTCTCGCAAATTTTTCGAGTAGCCCTATTTAATGTTAACTAAGAGGCATCGCCCCCTGCTCGCTCGCTCTCGCCAACCCCGGAACTGCTTTCGCAGTACATCTTGCTTTGCTCGCTCATTGGATACGTTCTTAACGTCTAGCTTTTGTATACTTTTTTGAACACTGAAGTTCCGAAGACTTTTCACTGTAGAAAATTCTAAACCTGTGCATTTCAATATTAATTTGAAATTGCAAACAGTTCACATATCTATCTTAATCACACTATTCTAAATTTCAGTTGTTGCGAAAAGTAACTGTTGTAAGTTTTGTTTCAAAGTCTTTCCCACCAGAGGGCTAAAACCATGCGTTCTAAAACAATATGAAATAGTACTGAAAGCCGGATGTAAAGCATCGGCTTCGATGAAGATTATTTTGTGAGAATTTTTTTGATAATTCGGTGAGAATTCACCCGATTAGACATATGATGCTCACTACTGCTCTTGCGCGCCGAAGCCTATCAATTAACACGTATTAGCGTTTTATATAACATGGATTAGCCATATGATGCTCACTACGTGCTCTTGCGCGCCGAATCCAATCAATTAAAAATGAAAACTGTTGCCAGCGCGTGAAAAGAAATATCATCGGTTTTATTGATACATACGTACGTATTAGCGTTTTATATAATATAGATGACATTCAATTATTGAAATTTCCATTAAATTTAAACCAAAATCTTTGTTTTAATTCCTTATTTCTCTTCATTTTTTACTTACTTTTGCCTTTATACATTTTGCCTACCAATATGGAATATTTCCAAAATATATATATAAATAAAAGGTTCCTCAAGAAGAATGCGTCTAATTTTATTTTACGAAAAATATCAAGGTTTTAATTTGTTGCTGTTATGTGCTTTAAATATTCATTTTTCTGAAATAAACTAATTAAATGTATTTACCACTGATGACTGCTGAAGATTCTGTGGGGAAACCATTCTGTTTTCTGATTCATTAAAGCCTTCAGACATATTTCTGTTTTTTATTTATAGTGAATCCTAAGAATCTACTGGAAGAAAACAAATTTTGACAAAAAAAATAAACAAATGTGCAAAATAAAATAGGAAAGGGATTAAAATTAATTATGTATTTGTAAGTTACCTTTCATCCTATGTTATCCTTTGTAAGTTATATTTTTGTAAGTTATCTTTTTCCTATTATTTTAAATTTTCTTCATAACTAAAATGGTCATTTTCATCTTATTTCATGACTAAAAAGGTATTTATATCATCTTGAACGATATGCTTTATTTTTCATTTTCGACTTCTAATTCAGATTTATTTTCCTTGGTTCATATTTACTCCAAGTTGAAATATTTGTTTAAAATGAACTCAATAAAATATATGTATACATTAGATAAAAATTGTTATTAAAATTAAATATTTAAATTATTATAATTGTCAGTCTCAGTTATTTATAACTATTCTTAAAGATCGCGTTCTTATATTCATATTTGTTCTAGCAAAAGAGCCGTTTATGAAATGTGAGAACGAAATGCAAAAATCAATATATATATTTTTTTTTTCTGATGCTGAAACCTATAGCGTTTAACAGTTAAGGGTTTAAAGTAATTGAATATCAAATAATTTTTAAAAAACTATTTCTGCTTAGTGGCAACAATGCCTCAGACCTAACTGTTATGAAATATTTAGGATTTGCTTTTGAAACTAATATTTTAAGATCCGTTTTAAGCCAGTACAAGTGTCCAATTAAGTAAACTATAATTGTATTTTCTGAATATTATTTTAAAATTATACAACCTTTACAAAAACTAAAATTTCGTAGATCACATTTGGTCTCGCACGTGCCATCACGAAATCGAAACGTTTATAAATCATTAAAAAATCGATATATATTATTCTCTTGTTTTTAATTTAGTTTGATGCGTATGAGAAAATCACTTAATAGTAGTTAATTTTAAATATATATTTAATTAACTATCGTAAATATTATTATATTTATTATAATTATGTAATTTTGAGCTAAAACACTTGATCTATTTGCAAACGAAGAAAGCATATAGTTTGAGCTACTACAGTGTGAAGTGCTGAGACAAATTCCTAAAGGAGGTAGGACACATCATGAATGACTAAGAATTATTCAATAGCAACCCAGGATCGGAAATGTCATTGCTCGCAGCTAGGGATGCTTCCCCTTTATGAAAATACTCTTCGTGGCCATTTGAACTGGTACATCTGTTACCTAAAAATTCTCAACTTTATGTTAATTTTATGTTCTCTAAAAAGTATTATAGAAAACTACATTCGAATAGGCTCAAAAATAGCTATATCGAATAGGCTTGTATCGTAATTTAATGATATGGCAAGCTCAGAGTTCTCCCTAGGAATAAAAAAGGGCAGAGCGCTTCTTCTCTGAAAAAGGTACTTTAATTTTGAAAGGGCACTCACTTAACATCGTAAATCGTTATCAAAATGTATAATATTAAGTAATAACTGAATTTTATCGTTAACAATTTTTAAATTCCCCTCGCATACTATTTAATGAGCATATTTAAAAAAGTAATTTTCTCTCATTTTTAAAATATGAGAAAAATTTGTAGTTTGTAAAAATAATTAAAGGCATGCTAAAAGGCAATCTATGTGCATATTCAGTTTTTCAAAAAAAAAAAAAAGAAAGAAGATAAACTAACAAAAAAATTATTAATTCATAAACAACTGGATAGCTTTTTTCTATACTTTAAACACAGAATTATGAGAAAATAAGCATTTAAAGGTGCATTTTTAAAATAAAAAAAAGGTATTTATTTAAAAAAACTTTTTTAAAGTTTATAATCACTTAAAAAATTACTTAATATCCCCCCTCCCCCGCCAGAAAAAAGATACTTATAAAAATTTAAACAGTTGATGTTGTTGTTGTTGTTAATTTACGTCGCACTAGAGCTGCACAATGGGTTATTGGCGACGGTCTGGGAAACATCCCTGAGGATGATCCGAAGACATGCCATCCCAATTTTGATTCTCCGCAGAGGGGATGGCGCCCCCGCTTCGGTAGCCCGACGACCTGCACGCGAAGTCGGGCACTTTACGGTAGAACAGTTTAACGAGGACCAATACCGCACACCCTCGGTCCCTACGCAGACTGATCCAAGTGGTCACCCACCCGCACACTGACCGCAGCCAGTGATGCTTGACTTCGGTGATCTGCTGGGAACCGTGTCTTAACGATCAGCCCACTGCGGGACGGTAAATAGTTTAATGAATATTATGTAGAATTCATTGCTCCAACAATAAATGAAATGCTTTTATTTATGAAAATTTATATTTGCATTTTCTAGTTTTGCAATTATGATTCAAAAGATATTTTGGAATCAAATTTAAGATAAATAGCCTGAATCATGTAAGACATTTTTTGATAAATAAAAGGCATATGAATGTTTCCCAAAATAATGCTATTTTCTTGCCACTATCTGATACGAGATATTAGAAAAAATAATGTTCAAGTAAAAAATAACATTCGTAAAGAGCTCTAAAGTATTTTACATTGCAAAACAAATATTACTCAAGACTCAAATATTTAAAAAATACTAGACAAAAGCAATTAAACTTACTAGAAAAGCCAGATTTTCCGAAGTCACTGTCACTAAATTTACAGTTTTGAGAAAATTTCGTTATGATAATAAAACGGTAACAGGCAGTACTACAGTAAGAATACTTTACTTACATGAATTTTTTAGACTCAATACTACTGAATAAACTAATGAGTTTTTTTCTATTCATCAATGCATAATTTAATAAACTAAATAATGATAGAATTCGCTTTACAATTTAAATATATGGAACATAATTTGTGACATTTAACTATATTTAATCGCTCACAAAGGAAGATAATTTAAATAAATCGTTTTCCAGTATTTTGAATTGAGTTTTACACAAATGAAACAAATTTTGCATGGATCGTATTGTTACATAACTAATAGAAAATACGGAAAAATTATAAGGCTCTAAAAGATTTAATTATATTTTGAGAAATTATTTATTTTTTTATTTAACATGAACAAAAGCATTTGTAATGACTTTTAAATATTTACAAAAGGGAGAAAGATAATTTTATTACATATCCGATTTTGATGGGTTCTTTTATTTGCAAGTAATTATTCTTCAATGAGAATTTTTACGATTTGAACTTTTAAACATATGTTACTATAACTTTACTTTCATTTCAAAATTAATTCGATGGTGCATAATAATTATCAAGTAAAAATTAAAAAGGAAATAGAACTTATCAATTTTTTTCAATTTGAATATGTATATATATATTTACATTTGTAATTTA